TGCCTTGGCATCTTGCTTTGCTCCCCAGCTCCCCCCCGGCACGGCCGGGAGCACCGGCCTTGGACAGCCCCGGGTGAGGGAGGGGCCGCCTGTGTCTCTGCTGGCACCTCCTGCAACACCCCCCTGCACTCAAGCGCAGCAGAGAGAAATGAAGTGCTTCTCCAGAGCCTGGGGGAGTCAGAACTGCTCCCCAGCCTCGGTGGGTTTCAGTTGGGTCACTGCAGCACCCAGCCCTGAGCTGCTCCAGCGTCCTCTGGGAGCACCCAGCCTGGCCACCCCAAATTTGGAGCAGGGAGGGCCAAGGCAGGGTGAGGGCTGGGCAGGGTGTGTGGTAGGGGCTGTCCAGGAGGGTCAGCCTAAAAATACACACTTTCCCTGGTTGAGAGCAGCGATCCCCTCTTGCAAGGTCGGGAATCCTGTCTCCAGGCTCCAGCCCTGCAGAGCTCCCGTGCAGAGAGCCCACAAACCCACTGCATCCCACACCACCAGTGCCCAGGGCCATCGTGGAGCTCAGCCACCTCCAAAAATCATCCAGCAGGATCAGAAGCAGCAGGGAATACAGACACTCATTGCACAAGCCTTGTTTTATTGGGGAAGAGAAAGCAGCCAAGAGAGCAGGGGTGAGGAGTGCTGGCAGAGCATCCTGCAGCCGGGTGGCCTCTTGGTGCACCCAGCCCCTCCCGGCCACGTGCTTCGGCTTTGCAGGCCGTGCTGGGCCAGCAGCTCTGCCCACAGCAGTCCAAACCATGCTGCTTTATCTATTTATTGTAGAAATTTTCTAGGAGGCTTTTTCTTTCCCCCCGCCCTGGCATTCAGGGCAGCAGCAACCACGTCCCCCAAGGGCTGTGTAGGGTCCTGGCCCAATAAACACTGCCCAGCACCACTGCTGCCTTGCACCTTATCTTTCCAAGCCTCTTTTCCTAGGGGGAAACTGTAAAGCCTTGGGTAGGAAAATGCCACGTTTGAGAAGCAGCTTCTGACAGAAATACACCACATGTTGGAAAAAGAAAGGACAGAGAACACAGTGGGACACTTTTCAGATGGTCACCTACAGGAATTGTCAGCAATGCGCTTCACCCCACTGCTGTCCTCCTAACACATTGTTGTCTTAAGTGTAGCACTGTGTATTTACATATACAACATAATGAAGAACTTGGCTTTTGTATCATTCCCACGCTTTATTTTGGAAAAAATATGCGATGGCTGTAAAAAGTGAGACTCACTCTATGCATAAGGGGTTTGGTGAGCCAGAGGTGGGCAGGGCAAGATCTGGGGCAGTAAAGCTGGGGAGCAGGCAGGGGCTGTCAGGGACCCTCTGGACCCAGGAAGAGCGAGGCAGCAGCAGCCAGACCCTGCTGACACAGTGCTGAGCCACCCCAGCTGAGACCTGCCCACCCAGTGCACAGACAGCCAGGCAGTGAGGATGGGAGAAAGGCATTTCTGTCCCAGAACAGGATGGGAGGCGAGGCTGGAGCCTCCCTTCACCCCGCAGCTCCCTGGGGGAGTGAGCCGAGCCCCGGGATGAAAGGCAGGGTTTGTGCAGAGCCCCGGGGAGCAGCAGCACCTCGCTGAGCCCAGACACCGAGGGCAGACAGCCCCGGCCCGGCCCACCCCGGGGCCTTTTCAGGCTGGGAAGTCCATCTCTTAATTGACTACGAAAATAAATGAAGACAAGCCAGTGTACACAGGATTTCCAGAAAGCTGGGCTGGAGCTGAACAGTGCTGAATACACGGCTTTACTTAACAGGCTTTGGGAAAACAAGCCCTCCCCTCCTGCATCCCAGCAAGAAGCCAGCCTGAGCCCAGGGGGGTTGCTGGATCTGGGCCCAGTCACACTTAACCCCCTTCTGCTCCTGCCCTTGAGAAAAGTTACAGTCTTTTCACAGCCTGAACATTATTAAAGGGAAAAAAAATTTAATTACCCCAACAAAATAGTTCCCTAATTTCTGGGAGGTTCAGCACAATTCTTTCTGATGACCAGAGTCCTAGAAAAGAGATTACACACCAAATCCCACACAAATTAAAAAAGCAAGAGCTACTCCAGAGTAAATAGCCAGGGGCAAGTTATCTGATTAAATGTCATAAAAATATTCCATGAACTGGGGTCAGTGACTGAAAGCTCCACCTGGCCT